AGTGCAGCCCCCACCCCAGGACCCAGCTCCCCATCCCCGAGCCACCCGTGTCCCCAAGTGCCACTCCGTGACTGCGCCCAGGCTGGGGCGACACAGCAGCCTCCTCCCAAGCCCAGGCGACCCCAGGGTGGGTAAACTGAGGCACGGGGAAGGGTGCAAAGGGGGGGGCTGGTTCTCAAGACCCCAAAACGCCATGCCAGGAGCTCAGTCAACATCCAATTTACTGACAGCGGGGAGGGTCTGGGGGGGCAGGGGGAGGTTCCCGAGTGCGTGTGGGGAACCCACCCGGGGGTGCAGGGGGGCACACGCGGGTGAGAACAGCTCAGTAGTGCAATACCAGGGACGGCGCAGGGAGCTGGGCTGGGGGGGAGCTCAGGCCTGGTCCCCCCACCCTGTCAGGGCTGGAGAGGCAGGGAAGTGCTACTGGCCATACTGGGAAAGGACCAGTCCCTCACTGCCCCTGGGGTACCCCTGGGGTGTGTGCCAAGGGGGGGGAGGGCAACAGGGGCTCTACCCCTCCACGCTGCTCTGATGTCACCCTCAGCTATGTACCTAAGTGCCACCAAGGCGGGGGAGTGCTGGGACCCCTCACCCCACTGGGACCCCCCCACCCCACGTTTCACATGCTTCCCAGCGAGCCCAAACAGCCGCGGCGGCGGGAGGCAGAAACGGGATGCTAAAACACCACACTGGCATAAAACACCACCCTGGGGTGATGGGGGCCACCCGGGGGGGGCCCAGGGGCTATTGATAGCCTGGGGGGGGCAGAAAGCCCCCGGGGGAGCCCTAAGGGACGCGGTAGGTGGAGGTGTTCTTGGGCTCGGTGCTGGGGACGCACCAGTCCCCCGCCTCCTGGCTGGCCTGGTAGTGCCGCCACGCCGACTTGTTGTAGACGGGCAATCGCTCCACCGAGTCTGTGGACAGGGCCTGTGGGAGACACGGGCAGCTGGGGAGGGCCCTGCGACCCCCCCAGAGGCTGCGGACCCCCCAGTCCTGGGGGAAAGACCCACCTTTAGGTAGATGACGGCGTCGGTGCCGAAGCCCTCCATGGAGAAGAGCTGCAGGTCCCCCTGGAAGTACTTGGCATAGAGGCGGGAGA